CATTCAGGAATGGTTAAATCTTAATTTCGAATTGAGATGGATAGGATGACGTGGAGCAATTGAGTGGCCATCACATTCACCAGACCTAACACAATCTGTAATATCCGGATCTGGCAGTTCAGTTTCAGTAACTTCCCCACTACCCTAAGGTTACCTCTCTCTTTTCTATAAATAATTTCATGGTAAATGTTCGAATACACTTTTCGCTATGGTACCTAGAGTTTTTTGATTTAAGCATAACACTAGACTGTTGAAATCTTATCAATTTATAGTTGAGCTGGCTAAATGTAGCAGTAAGTTCTATGCTGAGAGTTTCTTTTCTTACACTTCTTGCTTGTGGAACTTCCCTCCAGCTCAATGCTTTCCAGACAACTTTAATCTGCAGAAATTTAAATGCAATGTCAATTGCTCTCTACTGTCCTCCTGATTACTCTCTTTTCTTTTTACCCATCATTAATGTTTCTGTTCTGAATTCTTCCACACCCTGTAACCCTCTTGTGTTTTAGAGGCATTACTGTCTTGATTGGGATGATTCCAATTAAAAAAAAAAAAAAATACATCACCAGACTTTTTGTTGTGGGGTGTACTGAAATATCTTGCTTACTGGTTCAAACCAAAAACAATTCTAGCAATTTACGAAAATTGAATAAAATAAAATTCATAAAAAAAAAAAAAAATTATGGGGATTGTTTAAACTATGAAACTGCCAGGCACCATACAGTGATGATTTCTATGTCCAAATACATATATAGGTGATAGATGTAATTATTGCCTTGTAGAAAAAATAGTTATCTTAAAACATTTAAATAACCCTAACTTCTTAAACAAGAGAAATGAATTGATGATCACATGTAAGCCTAAAAATAAACCTCTGTTGAAATATTTTGATTCAAATTAATTTTTACTGTAAATCCTTTATTTTCTTCTATTCACTTAGCTTATATCGAGCATACATTTTATTTTTGTTTATTTTAATACAAAAATTTTTTTAAAAATACAATTACTCTCAGATATTTCTATTAAAATTTAAATTATATACCAGTAAGTCCCTACCCACCACCTGCTGAAGATTGCATTGTGCATGAAACTTTGAGTCATGGTATCAGTGAGGGATAATATGTATATTTATTAACATATACTTAGTGCTCTTTTTCATTTTTAAACCCCAGCACTCCATGTGCACTATCTTTTATTTATATATAACTAATTTATGAACTGGACACCACCCCCTGCCCACATCATTCTTAAATGATAAATCAAAAGAAAAAACTGAGAAGAAAATAAATTTATTAAATAATATCAAGAAACGACTCAAACACCGTCAATTATGTGGATTCTTCTTTTCCTTTTTATTATCGCTTTATTTTGTTTCTTTTATATTTTTTTTTTCCACTACTGTGTTTGACTTAAACTTAGCCAATTGTCATGTTAATAAAGATCTTGTCAGCAGACATGGACTCATTTATACAGACTTGTATTTAAAGTCATGACAATTTACCAGACAGCTGAGATTTCAAACCATTATGAATGTATTAAGAACAAAGATATTTGAATTTCATTTTGAATAAAAGAAACAAGACTCATCAGTGACAAACAATAATAATAATCTAATCAGCAAAAGACAAAAAAAAAAAACCTTGAGAAATACACAATTCAACAACAAATGGTTCTTGTATATTTAGTTCAGCCTTTATACAGTTGATGGAGTCGTGTTTTTTTTTTTCAAAGATGAGCCTTCTTGCAACGAGTTGATAAACCGATCATTCAAACCTAAGGGAAACAAACCCGACATCATGTGATTTGAAACCTGTGATGCCAGTCCATCTACAGTACCTCAGTTTGTTCTGGTAAATAACTCACACAGGTTACTAATAGAAGACTCAGCCAACCGTCCTTCATTAATCACTAGTGGTTTAGTTGGTGTCTGCCTAAACCATATCGAAAATCCTTTTTTCCCCCTTTTACAGGAAATAGGCTTCCTTTTCAAAACTATCACTATACTTTTCTCTTTGTTTGCAACAGTTTCACATGTTTTTATACATATGTATATGCAGTGAGTATCTGTGTATGTCATATACAAAGATACATAAAGGGGATGGGGAAAGTATGCATGGAGTTGACCTGTTTTTTTTTATGGTGCACATATTACATGTTTGCCGTACAGTGTAGGGTGAGGTCATTGGGCTAGAATTGCATTGTTACACTTGTTTAGAGGAGGAGGTGGAGCAGCTTTTTCCTGTGTTGGGATGCTGATGTCACCATCTGAATCCGACATTGGCGTTGATGCTAATGCTTGGGTCTTGGATAACCGGACCACTTCTTGAGAAAGCGTTTCAAGATCCTGTAAAAAAAAGAAAAAAAAATGTAAGTATAATGAAAATGATCAAGATTCAAAACTTTGGTATATTTTTTAAATTATGGAATGTGTGTAAATATGATAAATACTTATACACAGAGAAATAGATTATACAAGTTCAGAATAGCATTTCTTTGTTGGTTTATGAAATTGGAGAGTTATTTATATGCAGACTATTGTTCTCATCTTTGTTGTTGTTATCCTAACATTATTATGAGTTCAATTTCTGGGCTGGGCAGTGTTTACTTTGACTCATTGTAAACAAGGCAAGCAATAACTGAGCAGTACCTAAAATAAGAACTAGACAAGATAGCCATAGACATGGGCAGTGGAACGAGAACAGTCTACACCAGTAGATTTAATAAAGGTTTCAGTTTGGAATTCCCTTTTACCAGGATTGATATACATCAAATGAAACCCTGAGGTTACAACAGATGTTAATGTTGTGATAACAAGAAACCCGAGGACAATAGTGCACATGTAAATAGTAAAATAATGATAACTGCTCATCCCAGGACTTCAGACAGAAATCATCAATGCTAACTTTAGAGATTTGAGCCCTAAGATAATAATGTTCTTGTTACTATTAGAAATTGTTATATCAGATTATTTGAATTTTATTTACAAAAATAAAGCCTAATTACTTGTCTTAGCACCATTCTTTGTAGCTTTTATCCTTTGAACTGAATCTTACCCCGCCCTTCCTCATTTATACTTGATGGTCACCTTTACTAAAGTTAAAGCCCCAAAACACAGATTTATGGCCATATCAAATTGAAACATTGGGTTCAAATATGATCAAAGTTAAATAACATTGAGCTTGGTCCGTACCTAGATGGGTGACCATTTGGGGATACCAGGTGTTATAAGCTTGGATGTAGGGTGTGTGCTCTAAATTGGAGTTCCAATTCCAGTTGGGTCCATTATATTCACTTATGTGCAAATACCTTTGGGAAAGGTATGAATCTACCTCTTCTCTCCCCAGCTATGGGTTAATTAGTAAGACGTGTATCAGTAAATCTTTATGAGAAATATTTTGAATATAATAATCTAAAAATATTTTCTGGCTTTAAATAACCTGCAAAAGGATAAGCCATAAAAAACACATCAATAAAAAAACCCCCAAAAAAAAAACCATAAACATAATGCTAAGAATAGTGATGTTGTCTTAAATAAAACTAGAGCAAGGATTCATGTGTGACCCAGAGACAATATGGAGTATGACACAGAAAATTGGTAAGATTTTTTTTTTTTTTTTTGTTCTTGACAATGCTCCATTTGTCAAGAAAATGAAAATCTGAATAAAATAAAAATCAAAGACACTCATTTGATGAAATGACCAAATTGTTTGATTGACATTAACATGATTGTAAATTTGTGGAGGACAGCAAAGATAAAATTTAAAATGCTATTTTAGATGCTGTTCAACCTGTTTCATATAAATAAAGAAATACTAAAACTTTCATGTTAATGTTGGATTTATAACTTTAATGTTATTGCAATGAAACTGATTTCCGTATTTTGTTCAAAACATTGATCTTTTGATTATAACTTTTAATTACAGCATAATGTGAAACTTGGAAACAGCACTAACATGGAGACAACAACAACAACAATAATGCATATGAAATATTCCTCAAAATAAGAATCTGAAAATTCTTTATCACCCCTTATAAAGATCTGCTTAAAAAGTATCTAGATTGGTGCTATAAAACATATATTAAATCATCTTTCTTTTTTTCTTCTTTTTTTTTTTTTTTTAAAATAAAAAAAATCAATTTCCTTTTAAGGCCTTTTAAAATAAACATAATCGAAACATTCAAAAAATTTTAATAGAGACAAATATGTATCTTTATCGGCTTATATTATAAAATTTATCTATTTATAACCATTCATTGTTTTTAACACTACTGTAATTATTTAGATAATGTAATAATTGTCAAACAAAATAGTTAAAATTTTTAATTAATCAGTAACTATAAAAAAATCAATTTTCAATTACTATGATTAAACTGAATTGGTGTTAAAAAAAATCTAAACACACTAATTAAAAATGCATTAATCAAAATGCAAATTATTCCAGTTTGTCAGTTTATTAATTTCCCTCAAGAGGCCAGTACAGCCAGGCAACAAAGCATGAGTGAAAGTGTTAAAAAGTAGATATATCTCCCTATCCCATATCAAATTGCTTAATTGTAAGCTATTCAATATTTATTAAATAAATTATATAAACCTATTATATATGACTTCAACCAACACTTACCCACTGGGTCATGTAGATAAACACTTTGGTTGAAGTAATTCAGTCACAACCAACTCATCTTTCTGACACAGTCACTAAAAGCTTTACAATGGTCTTTTACCATAAAAGAGTAAATGTACAACATTCATGCAGCTATTCTCAAAATATTTAAGATTCTTTATGGGCTAGGCGTGTCTTTATTGCCATCCTGCCCACTCTTTGTTCTATCTAGTTACACAAGCTTGTTAGGTAGGTTATTCACTGTTTCACTTTGTCCCTTTCAATGTCCTGTAAGTGTCAGATTCTCCAAGCCCTCTTTCTATATTATATGTCCAAGAAATTTCAATTGACCTTTTCTGATTCTAATTATAAATACCTTTTATTGTTTCAATTTTGGCTTAGAGCCATATCATGTTGAAACACCAGTTCCCATAAGATCACCAAAGTTAAGCAATGTCAAACCTGATAAGTACCTAGATGGGTGACAAGTCAGGAATACCAGGTATAAGCTTGGATGTGCAGGTAGTGTAGTGGATAACCGTAATCAAAGAGTCCAGTTCCAATTCCAGTCGGGTATTTTTTTTTTTTATATTCACTCAGAAATAACCTTGGGGAAGGTATGAATTCACCTCTTCTCCCCCAGCTACGAGTTAAAGATTTACTGAGTCAAGTCCTATTTATCTCCAAAAATTTCTTACAGAAAAACTTAAAAAATATATTTTCTGGCTTTAAATAAACTGCAAAAGTTTGCATAGTATGTCCATGGTATCCTCAGCATCCTTCTGTAGAATGACATTTCTTTGCCTCAGGTCTCCTCTTCATCTATGAGGAAAGTGTCCAGCATTCATTGCCATATGCGCATATTGATATTACATGACAGAAACAAAGAAAAGAGTGCTGAACTAATGAAATTTTCCTGTTTCTTAAAACTCTGTTTTTAAAACTTATCTTTCACAATTCCAATATGTAGCTTCAGATTTCAGTGTCACATTTTCTGTCACCTGTTAAAACACTTCCTGGAGAGGTAAATTTCTGTGCTTCCTCAATTCTGATGACTCCAATTTCTTTACTTTAAAATGAACAGCAAGATAGTGACTAAGAAACCAAATACTCGTGTAGAGGGTGCAATTGTCGCTATTTTATATTTCTAATTTCACGTATGTATGTTGTTTGGTTTTGATTCTGTCAAGAGCACAGTACAGTAGGATCAGTTGGGCACAGTCTGTGAGAAAAAGATCACCATGACGCAATTCACTCTGCTAGAAATTTGGAAACGGCATGCTGTACTGTTTGGCATTCATGCCAGAAGCTCCAATATGAACGTTTCACAATCTGAGGACAGTGCAGAGGATTTGGAAAGAGTTGGATGTCTAATGGTGATTACGAAGGTGTTTGGAGTGATAGCAATGTTATGCCTCCATTCATCTTCCTACAGGACCTCAGACTCAACAGAGAGGCCTACATCAAGTGCCTTGAGGAGGTAGTGCTGCCCTGGGTGAAGAGGGTGGCTGCTGAAAGACCATATATATATATATATATATATATATATATATATATATATATATGGCAACAGGACACTGCACCATGCCACACAAGCTGGAGAACCCAGTCATGGCTGTGAGACAATTTCTGCAGGCACATCCCTTGATTATTATGTGTGGGGCACAGTTGAGCAAGAGACCAACAAAACCTCTTGTAACATCAACGATGAATTGAAGGCAAGGATTATGGCAGCATTTACCAACTTAAACAAAAAGGCCATCCAGAAGAGTTTCCTGGAGATTCTGAAGTCATCTGGAGGCCATGATTGAAGCTAATAACGATTTTATGGAATAAATTTACTTTTTAGTATTTCAACATATTTTTATGTAATTTTGGTAAATATGTCTGTTAAAATGAAATGTCGGTGTTTTTTTCCTTTTTGGATATTTTAGATGACAATTTAACCATCACACCCCCTGTGTGTGTGTGTATATATATATATGTGTATACTCCTGTAAAATTAATGAGCAGAAAAAGTCACTATAGACAACAGCCTTGTACCAAACTAAGCTAAGTAAATAAATATTTGCTTAGTATGCTGTCCAGTAATTGTGTCCACACACTATTTTCCTTTATCAAGTGCTAAGAAGAATGGATATTTTCTTAGACGAAATTCTATGAATGGCATTTCCTAAGGATGGGCACAGCACTCACAAATAAAAGCCAATTCCAGTTAGAGACACATTGAAGAGAGAAGCCAAAATAGATCTTATGTGGACTGATTTGCGATTCAATTAAGAGTTCAGTCAAGGATCAGCAAGGAAAAGAAAACTCATAGAACCAAATGACATTGGTTTTCTTTCAGGCTGCCATAAGTAAATCTGTGCCAGGAATAGGCCCTGAGGCTGGGGGTCATGAGAAAAAGCATCAAGAAATGAATGCAAACTTATTCCTTATCATCCGTGTGAATAGAGTTGGAGTTAAAAAATCAGGCTCATTGCAATGCACTAGAAAACTAAAGCAAGATATTTTGTGGACGTTCTAAAGTTGAAAGGCTGTATTTTTGTTCCATTGTCTGGTACTGAGTAATGAAGATTAAAATGAATGAAAAATACAGTTGGTGCAAGAAGATATTTTGCTTCTCTATCTATGACTGCACTGCAATAAATGCTTCATAAATATGATATAACATGATGAGAATCCACATATTGTGTTTTTAAGTTAAAAGAAATCTGAGGCATCTGAAAGTTAAACTATATTCCACAAAGATAAGAGATTCAAACTTTAATGCATCTGGATATGATTAAGAATGAACAGAAAAAACAGACTATGTCAAACCGAAAAGTCAACCTAAAAGGCTGTTTTGAAAACTGGAATTGAGGCTGGGATAACAGAGTGAGATTAAAGAGAACACAAGGCAGCTGATAGTGATCCTGAAAAGGGACTTTATCCTCTTTTCAAAAACGTCTGCAGACTGAAAAACATGCACCTATATCTACAGCAAAAATCCTAGGCTCCAGGTATTTTTGACAAAACCCCAACACAACACATTCTGATTACTAGGTAATCAAAGCTAACTACATTACATGCAAAACTGAGAAGGTAATTGTTTTGGATAGATTAGTAGAGTAATTTAATTACTAGAATGTTTGAAAGTAGATGACCGCAGATTGAACAAAAAAAAAGTGTCAATGTGATATTTTCAGCTTTTATGCGCAGAGGACCATTTTAGAAAAAAAAATGGTTCATCAAAGAATCAGTTGATGGAAGCAATACTTTCTTTTTTCATACACAAAGGATATAAATTCAAAATATTAATTCTTGGAAAATTATTTAGATACAAAAAACGAAAATTTTAAATCAATGCAAAAACCATATTTAAATTTCACTTTTATCGTGTCTTGGCAAAACAACATTTGATTTGTATTCATGAAAACTGTCAGAGGAGATAATTATTTTTGAGATTTTGATGACAATATTCATGCAATATTTTCAGCTACATTTAAATTAATAACACCGCACTTAACAACAAACTATTCAAACGAAAAGAAACGTGCACTCATTTTAAAAATTATCACCATACAGTACTCAAGCCTTTCTAATATTCATTTTATTCATTTGACAAGAACCAACCTCAATTTCTTCTTTTACAGGAAATAAGGTTCATCTAGTAATTATACGCTTTTCACAAAGCTACTAAGACCCTAATCTTTAAACTATCTAAATGCTTTTCATCTTTAGGTATTGAACAATCATTTTTATTTATTTTTTTAATCATTTTGCCCCAAGCAAGGCAATAAAGCCACTAAGATGCAAGGAGTTACTGACCGTGAAAGAGCAAAAGAAAAACACTATTAATCTGAGAGGACACTAAAAGAACAGGAATTAAGAAGACAGACAGCAATGCTTGACATTGCAGTTAAATTTTTGAGGATCAAACTAGGCTGGAAAAAAGAGTTCCACGAATGAGAAGTGCAAGAAAAGAAACTGTTAGCATAGAACTTAAGGTTACATCTAGCCATTTCAACTGTAAAATAAAGTGAACTTCCTGCCAAAATACTACTGCATGTAAATTCATAAAATCTGTACCAAAGAAGATAGTTCATCAGAACAATTACCATGAAAGTATTTATAGAAAAGGTACAGGAAAACTATATAGATATTGAGTTGATATAGAAATCAACATTTCATGGTGACTGTCAGTTTGACACCTCAATATGATTAGAAAGAATTTATGACCATACATAACTGATTTCTTATGCTTCATTTCAACAGTAAATTCTTCAACAAATACCAGAAATCAAAACTAAGATTTAGGTACAAAAGAACATCACCTTTATTTATGTAGAATATTTACTTAGTCACTGTTTCAGGATAACTTACTTTGTTGCTAAACAAGTTGTACATATCAGGTTACTGATAAGTTATATCCAAATGTATAGTCCGAGTAAGATCAACATTTCATATTTTATTAGAATTTATTCATTAACATTATAAATCACATTTGGATAATTCCCAAGTTTCATAATACCATTTTCATAAGAGACTTTTGGTTTGAATACATATTAGTTCAGACTCGACACTAGGTTCATTCACAGAGTGCAGTTTCTTCTCGTCAAACACTTGTGGCTTAATGTAATGAAAATAAATCTTTGGCTGGATTATTACCCAAGAAAAAAAAACAAACTATGAGACAAAATTTTAGCAGTCAGCAAATTTTATTCTATTACAGCTGACTCTTAAAAGTGAGATGAGATGAGATGAGAAGGTGAATGGTCTAAGCAGTGTGTGCCTTCCTTTCACATGGGAAACATGCGATCCTCTAGTTTAGGTTGCTAGGGATCACTGTCTTACAAAGAACAATCTTCTCTGTCAGCTTTCATCTAAAAAAAAAAAAAAATCATTCATCAAGAATCCACTCAGCTGACCTGATTCTTGGTGGGGTGGGGGCATTCCACTTAGCTCACCTTCTTTGTGAAGACAATAATTGTCAAAATAATTTCTGTAACATCCTGCAGATGAGTCCCTAACAAGATACTAGCTGAAAACTGTTATCACTACAGAGAGAAATTAATGTTCACCTCTTCATGTGTTTAAAGAACTACTAATTGTTTCTGTAAACTGTAGATGGAGTAAAATTTTCAAGAATAAGGAACAAAATTCCTTGAACCTTATAGGATGTTATCATTGCTGTATAGAGCTTTGCATTATTATAATGTAACAAGGTATGTTTGCAATTAATCAAACAGGGCCTCTATTAAATGTTTAAATGCACTAAGTGCCAGGAATGATGACTGGTAGCAACTCAAAGTGGATCATACCAAAACTTGGATTGAAGTCCATTTTAGATTGTGCCCACAGATCACAGAGTTTCTCTTTGTACCATTCATTGACGTTTTTAATTAACATTTGGTCTTTTCTAAATCATTCCTTCATCTTCCCCACTCCATTAACCATTTCCTAATAAAGAAACCTAGAGGTGTAGTAGAGTAATGGATACAGGCTCAGATTGAGGAATCGGA